TATGCATTAGAATTCAAGGTATGCATTAGATTCCTTGAAAACCAGAATGCAGGAGGGAACTACCGGCTCTAATGGCTCTCTCGGAGCCTAAGGAAACCAACAGTTATTTTATTTGCATACAAAGTGACTCTCAGAGGGTGGGAGGGCAGTGTTTATTTACTAAAGTGATCCTCCTTCCAGAAAATCAGTGAAGTCCTAAGGTTTAGAAAACACAAACCCTTAAAGACCTTTTAGAGAATGTCTCAAAGCCGGGAGTTCGCAGAACTGTCACTTATTTTTTTTATGTCTACAGGACATTTCATGGGAGAAGTGATGAGTGTGCAAATCTCGGGAGGAGCGTCACGACTGTCAGGGGCTTGCTGTGTCGAGGGGCTGTGAGGGTCACATGCTGTCGAGTAAATCAACTCAACTTCCAGATTCACCTCTCAAGCTGTAACTCCTTAAACTTTGACAAAACTCCTTACGGGATCCGGTCTGCCTGCCTTCCTGCCACGACTTAACCTTTGCATCTCCTCGCTAACTTCCAAGGAGCCAAATATCATCTGGCAACTGCGGGTGTTCAAAGAATGCGGGATTCATCCACTTTCCTTCCGCTGGTTACGCCATTCGGTGCAGAGGAGCCCCCAGGGAAGGCGCCAGGAGCAGCCTGGCGCTCTCGGGTTATTTTAGGCGTGAACTGGCTCCAAGCAGCGAGCAGAAGTCCACAGAGACGGCGCCTGAGCTGCCCTTTAGCGAAGCGATGTTACACTAACCACCTCCAACAGAGGAGACCCCGGAACAACACTACGGTGCTGTTTCACTCTAGCCTGCTGTTAGGAGTTTGAGGGCGTCTGCAAAATCTTAGTACAGCTGAGCAGAATTCACGCCGACACAGGAGAGCCCGTGTCGCGGCGCCGCCGAAGCGCGGGCTCTGCGGCTGTGAGGCGCGTGCTCGCAGACCCTGTCGGGGCGCTCGGGGATCTCCGGGCCGGTCCTTGCAGGGGGTGAAGCCCGGGCCTCCGGTGAGCCAGGCGAGGAGCTCCGCCCGCCCGCCCGCGACTCCGGGCCCGCCTCGCAGCGGCTCTCGAACCCGCCGGGCTCCAGGCCTGGCGCGGCCCTGGGTGGCGGGCTCGGCAGAGGGGCCTCGCCGGGCGGGCGCCGCGGGCCACACGCTCCTGGGGACCCGGCTGCCCTCGGGCCCGGGCGCCCCCCAACCCCCCCCGCAGAGGGCCGGGCCGCGCAAGGGGGCTCCGGGCCCGGGCGGGGGGGCGAGGCGGGTCTCGGGGGCTCCGCGGCCCAGTCCCCAAACGCGGGGAGCTCCGCCGGGAGCAGGGCCGGGGCCTAGCCGGGCGCTGCGGGGGTGCCAGGTCCCCAGCGCGGGGGCCGGGGGCGGGCCGGGCGCGGGGCCAGGGGCTCCCGGGCACCCGGCGGCGGCGCCCGCCGTCGGCCCTGCGCATACTGACCTGAGCGTTTCTCCGTCAAGGGGCCACTGAGGACACGTGTGGCACCAAGCGGGGACACTCGAGGCGCGGCCCGGGCCCTGCCCCCCGCGCGTGCGCGCCATGTGACGGCGCGGCCGCGGCCCGCGGGACGGGGCTGGGCCGCTCGGGCCCTCGCACGCCACGGAGGAAAGGGGCCTGGGCGGGTGGCGAGCGAGAAAGACCTAGGAGCTGCGGGCGCTCGCTCTGAGGTTCCTGACCGGCACCTTGTACTTTCCCCAGAGCGGAGGCCGCGCCGGGGACCGGCCGCCCCCAGAGCCGGCCGACGCGGGCCACCGCGGGGCGCGACAGGCACAGCGGAAAGCACCGGCGCCAGGTGCCGGCCGTCCCCGCCCACCCCGCCCCAGGCCAGCGGCTCGCGACGCGGAGGCGACGGCGCCCGGCGGCGCACGCCGCCCAACGTCACCACGCTCGCCCCGCCCTGCGCGAGACGCCTGACGTCACGGGGCGGGGCCCTCTCGAAGGCCGCCGCTGTTGACCTACTGTTACCAGGCGCGCGCCCAGCCAATCAGCGCACGGCGCCGGCGCCGGCCGGCCTTTGAACTCCGCACGGCAACTTCCTGCTGTTTGGCGAGTACACAGTGCAATGCAGTATGTCTGTCAGCGCTGCGGCACAAAGGAACAGCCATTTTGTGACTAAGCTGGACCTGCACCAACATGCCAGGGGCTCGCAGAGCGGCTCGCTACCGAGCTGCCCCCTATTTGCGCACCCGGAAACCAAAAGGGGGGAGGGAGGGCCGGAGATTTTGGTATCTCAAAATTTCGATTCGTTTTATTTTGTGTTCTCAAAAATCCCGATTCTTAAGAATTACCAGCGTCATAAAATGGCTGCCACTTAAAAACTGCTTGTTCCCGTCCACATGCAACTGTATTATGCCATTTCTAATCACCCCCCAGGCTTTTACAATAACTCCTGAAAGGCCGATTATAAAGCGAGATTTCGCCTACACCAGAGGTGATCAACATAAATCTGACTCCAAGGTAGACGATTTGGAGATAAATGTGATAAACTGCTTCAGTTCTTTTGATTGCAAACGGCCCCAGCGCACACACAACTGCACTTTCCACTCACCTCCCCTTAGATTCCGTGTTCTCTTTTTGACACTACTTGTAGTTACTCCAAACTCCAAATTAAAGTGTGTGGTAACATTTGTATAGATGTCCATCACTAAAACTTTGTTTTAAAATTTCACAAACGTTACAAGTATCATACTTCTAAATTGTATTTTTGAAAGTGAACGTTTTTAATCCTCGAAAATCACGATATACAAAGTATAACATTAGACTTACACATTACTTAGCATTAACTTCAAAAGACTACAGGAATAACGAAATTATATAATCACTATTGAGTACTGCATTATGTCCCAAAACAGGCACGGAAGTATCAGATTTAACCTAAACTTGCACTCGATCCTTTCAGATCTGACAGTAATTCTCAAACCAAAGTTTACTTGACCTGCAAATTCCTCCCTTTCTCTCCTGTGGCTCAGATTGCCAAAGTGAGTTTTGTAGCATAGAAACTAGGTCCTTATGGAAAAAACATTCAGATGGGTTAAAGAACCAAGTTTTAGTTACCCCATAGGGTCAACTTAATTTAAATTTGCTAAAAATAACACTAATCTATGTAAGACACCACATCCTTTGCCTTTACAATGCATAAAGGAAGTGATGTCATAACTATGTATCTGTATTAAGGCATGGAATTTGGGGTAACTAATTTAAAACTCCATCTCTTCCAGAACTCTCAAGTATCTGTGAGCATTCATCAGGTACATGATTCAAAATAAATCTGAAAAATGCACTGAGAAGTGTAGTGCATGCTTCCTGAACTTTTAAACCCACTGCTAGCAAGCAAATGCACGACAGCCTCCAAGAAGTTTCTCAGGTAAGAGTAATTATTTAAAAGAATAGCAACACTGCTTGATTTCTTCTTTTTAAATTAGAAAGCAGAGTCTGATCAATGTTAACCACAAACCTTACATAAGAAAACCAACACCCATGTGAGACATGCAAATCATACACTCAAGGGGGTAACAAGTTTAACAATTGCATCTTTAATAATTTGTCAAATATACCTGGGGACTCCCATTTCCTCAAATAGTCACTGCTTTTCAGAAAAGTCAGTTTAAGATTAGTAGAAAAGTTTTCTGACTGAAATCTGAAGCTAGGTAATTACATGGACAATTCAGTTCAAAAATACAACATTCCAAACTGTGTGGCAACTCAATTTGCAAAAGTATTTGGAAATGTATTTTAAAAGCCAAGGGTCAAATGTTTTGAAGTCTAATAAAAAAACATTTGTACTAACCAAACCATACTCAAGAATTTCAAATTCACTAACCTAATGCTAAAATTATTTATATAAAATTATAAAAGCAAAAGCAAAATTGTTGAGAAATATACTATAATCAATCACTTCCTTGTTAACTGCATCATTTAAAATGTATATCCTAAGAATTCAGGAGAACACACATCCAAAAATACATTTATAATTACTATTAAAAATATACAGATCGTACAACAAAACATCTTAGAGGCTTTATTACTTTAGTCACTAAAGAGGTATTCCAAGGAATGTGAAAACAAATCATGATTTGAACAAACAGTACATTTGTGAGCTTCAGAAAATAAAGCATTCCAGGCGACTCTGTCGAAATAAATCAATATATTTAAAGCAGCTACAGCTAAAATGCAAAGAATAAAATACTACATCTAACCAACCAGAAAGCACTGTCTGAATATAAACATACAAATTTAAACCTTAAAATAGCTTAAATGTAAAATGTACAATTAAAATGATCAGTTAGAAAAACAAAAGTGTTATCAAGTTTCCAGGATTTCTGTAATCACAGGTTTGAGTTCATAAATGCAGAAACTATAACCACTGAGCAAAGGTTTTGATAAATAAATCATATCAAAATTGCCTAAAATGTCAAGAGTATCAAAAGAAATAGACTCAGATAAAAATACAAACTGAGAGGCATCAGTCAAAGGGTCCTTTTTGCAATTTCATCTTAAAATGCACAATTTTTCATTCATATAACTTTCTCAAATGTCTATTTACTATAATTTACTACCACAAGGCTCCTCTATGGCCTTCGGTTACAAGTTTGGGTATCCTAGATTCTTCAAAGAAAAAATTTGCCTTGTATGTAAAATGGTGCAATGCAGCAATGGCTAAACCGACAAGGTCATTTTTCTACAGTACAAAAATCTGAAAACTGAAATTTATTGACAGAAAAACTGTAGTTTACAGGAAAAGCCCCCTTGAATAAAGGTACCTTACCTTTTGACTGATCTAAGAGGCCTTAAGTCACAACTCAACTTTCATAAATTGCTACCAAAAAATTAGGGTGTGGCATATTAGCAATCTCAAGGTCATGCTTTAAAAACCGAATCCTAATTAGTAAAATGCTTAAAATAAAGCAGACAGCTATCCTTGTCTGTCCCGGTAAACAATGTAAGCTGAGGTTTCCCCCAAAAAAAAAAGAAAAAAGGAAGAAAGTTGATAGCTCATACCTCGAAGCATTGCTGTGTAGCGAACTGTCCTCCTCTTGGCTTTTGTCCTTATTTCTCATCATCTTTTAATTCTTAAATATTAAGGGGGAAGGGGGATCTGTGTTTGCTTTGAAGTCCTGTGCCCAGGTATTTACTGTCAAAAGTTGAAAGAAAGGTAAGGTCCCAGCTTCTACCAAAGGTTTTTATTATCAGGAACAAAGTCCTGACGATGGAACGATATTGTTATAATGCAACAGCGGTAAGCACCGAAAAACAAAATATTTCTAATTTTCCTTTAAAAAAAAAACCACACACACACACACAGGATAAACCGAACAGGCAGAATCATCACTATCAATAAGGAAAGTTTCTCAAAGTAACCCACTGGATACAAATAACAATCTCTGAATCTTATTGCGTCATCCAGGAATTTCTCATATTTACAAAAAATAAAGCAAACTTAGACATGTAAATCTTTAAAATTATCACTAATGATCATGAACTTACCTGATCCATGTAGTAGGTCCAAAGCCAGAGTGCTATCTAGTAGTAGGAAAATATCAGATCCCAAATAATTAAAAATAAAAACAAGACTCTCCGTTAAAAAACGAAAAATAAATAAAATAAGCCTCAAACAGGTTAACTGGTCAAAAAAAATAAAGCTACAATTAATACTAAAACGGGTCCGGAAGAAAAAAAACCTCATTAGCAGAGCGCACAAAAATGGAGGTGCGCCATGGCTTCTAAGCTGGAAAAACAACGACCTGGGCTCTCAGTACGGCTGCTTCTTTCCAGCAAGGCACGAAAAGAAAGCTCCTAAAAACTGCTTTTCTCCCTAAAAAAGGTTCCAATCGACCCCAGTCAGTCACTAGGAGAGGCAGGGGGCTGCGGGGGCCCCCTGAGGCTGCCTGAAAGTTAGGGAAAGTTGCGTAAAGTGAGGCAAAGGCAGAGAGCAGAGCGCGCTCTAAGGCACAGCCGCCATCTAGAGCCTCCTTCCCAGCTCTGAGAGCTCTGCCTTTGATTGACACTCTCTACATTTACCCCACAACTCAGGTGATGTACCATAGACCCACCCCTTCATCTCAACCAAAAAAAAAAAAAAGATTCTTCATCCCAGGGAGCCTGAGGACCCCCACCCCCACACCTCCCTGCCCCTCCAGACCACCCCATCAGGGGAAGGGGGGAGGGTTTCTTAACCCCCCTCTGGCTCAAGCACCCTTTTTAAGCCAGAGAGAAATGTAATTTGTTCCTTTTGTCTAAAGATCTGCTAAATATTTCAGTCCTTGAGCTAAAATAACTTCCTCTCTGGACAGGAAGTGGTGTTTTATCAAGCCATTTTGAAAGAGGGATAATTCTTAAGAGAATATAAAGCTCAGCTTAAGTACTAATCTTTTTTAAAAATTAACCCCCCCCGTGGGTAAAATGGCTTACAAATGAAAGCAAAGCCTCAGTTTCATAAATTAAATTCCACTTTTGCCTTCTTTATTAAGTCTAAAAATTAACTACAGGCAAAGCTTAAGGGGTAATTTTCCATCCCAATTGGAAGAAAGGGGTACAACTCAAGAGCGCCTCCCTAGTGTTCAGTTGCAGGAGAGCAAAAATTAATGCAACTTGTTTTTAAATCAAGATTTTCAATGTTTCTTTGTTCTTGCACAAAATTCTTTAACCCATTATATAACCTTGCAAACCTTGTTCCCCTAAAATTCTCATAACCACAATAAATTTACTTCCCATATTGATTCCGACAAAAGTTCTTCAAATTCAAGAGTATGAAACTACCAGTCAACTGTAACAAACCCAAGAGACTCCACCTCTAAAGCCAGCACATCACATATATCCCCAACCCCCTCCCCTTGTTTTTGAAATCAAATTGCAAGTGTATACCCATGTCAACAAAGACAAGTTGCTAACAACTGATCTTATCTGACGGCAAGTAATCAATGTCAAAAGGAAAATTCTCCTAAATATCAAATTCATGTGATCTATGGAAACACATTACTAATACCAAAAAAGAAACTATTCAACACTTTCTTCTCCCAACAAGCACTCCCAAGAAGTCACACATCCAAAGAAAATCAACTTTCCTCACTCAGCATCAAACTCTAAGAACAATATACCCTTCCCTCTGAGGAAATCCATTTTAGATTTAAACCCTACCAAACCAATAATGTTGCATATCTAAGTAAATGTAAAAATCCATCATCAAAATCCAATTGCAGTTCCTTATTTTCTACAGAAGGTAATTTTGTACCAACCAAAATCCACATTCCACTTCTGGTTTATACAGATCAACCACCTGAAATCAGTCAATGGAGAATACCAAACATATACTGATCATGAATGCGTGTTAAGGTATTTGACATTAAACATGAACACATTATGACTATTTCTCACCCCCCCCAAAAATCAAAGCTTAACTACCCCTTGTTCTCAACATAAGAGTACAATATAATCTATTCCAGTTGGTCTATCAAAATAAAGCTTACCTGCCACACCTTTATAATAGTTAATAAAACTGACATTGGTTGGTTATAAGCAAATTGAAACTTCAGTATTCAAATGGAACTCAGACATCGATGATATGGTATGATTTCATTTAGTCTAAATTTCACTTGTACACAAGACACAAGCTAGTAATTCTATTTTATATTTACATAAAACATATTAGATATTGCCACCAAAACTTTATGTTCTTATATGACTGCCCCATGTTTCAATAAGTCAACACTTCTTATCCTATTATTAAGTATTAAGAGGCATCAGTTTAGTTAAAATGTTCAGGTGAATAAATTATTGGAACAATGCCTTATTTATAATATTTTTTAAAAATGGTAAAGGAGAATCTTTCACATCAACACAAAATCCTAATTGAGGCAAATGGCATTTTGTTTTAAAAGTTCATTAAAATATCATGGCAAATTAAAGATGTTATTATTAACCAATGATAGTTTTCCAAGTTATTTTGCAAGATGTTTCAAGAAAACACAAAATAGCATTTCAACCAACCGTCCCCCCCCCAAAGCACCAGTTTCCACAACTTGATGACAAAGGACGAATTCTTAACCAACCAAGTAAAACATTTCCCAGCACACCATTTCCATTTGACCAACTTTATTCAGTACACTTTACTGCTAGGAAACTGTAACGGGCAAAGTGTTATTTAAGGCGATAACCAAACATTTAATGAAATTTCAAGCTTAAAAAAAAAAAAAAAAGCCCAAACTGAGAAATTTTAAAGTGTTAGAAATTTTATTAAAGGTAACATTCCACAAGGTCATACAAAACTATTGAAAATTCCAGGCATACAAACTATCATCTGTGTTAATATACCATCTTCTCCAAATGTCAAAAATATACTTGATTTAACGATACAAAAAGTCTTTAGAAAGTCAAATCCACTGTCCATTGTGTCGGGACTATAGGTAAGAAACCTATATCTTCATTTCATGAAATCCATGTTAAAAGAACCCTGTCTCGGTTGCATATATCACAGCATTCGTGTATTAATCCATTTTCCTCAAGTGGACTGCCATCTTGATTTCTCAGTGGTAGGGTCCATTTGAGACTCTTCAAGCTGACTGGGTGCTTGATGAAAACATCAAAAGAAAAAAATGCTGTTGGAATACCAATAATCTTATTCCTTCAAACAGAACATCCACCCACCTTGAAGGTATCCTTACAATATACAAAGCTTTAATTTTGTAACAACTTTAAAGTATAAAACTGTATTCAAATTGTATGTGCTATTTACAACTTATCAATGAGAATCAAGGAGAGAATGCACAAAAGTAACAAAGTTCTACTGTCACAGATACATGTTACCATTTAAAAAAGCAGCACTGAGAGTCAAATTTTTAAGTCAAATTTAATGTCTTAGTACTCTCTAGAAGTGAAAGCAAAAATTTAAATTCAAAATCCCTGGAAAGCAAAATTACAGCAACATTATGGATTCTAAATCTCAATGCAGAAAACTTTCCAAGTTTCTTCAAATAAAACTAATTATGTTGAAGAATCTTTAGGGATAAAAAAAAAAAACTAAACCAGTGGATCTCAGTTTTCCTCTCCAACAGATGTTAATTAATTTTGCTTAGATAATTCAAATGGCCAATATAGAGTCCACCTTCTCTAGCTACATCAGAGAATGCATGAATGTACCACTTGGGAGATAAAAAGTATCTGGCCTGAATTATTTGATGTTTGCCAAAAAATGCTGTCGATCTCAAGTTAAATACAAATAAAATACTTCCACTGCCAAAATATCAAATGTACCTTTATAGAAAAAATAAATTCATTACTTACATAAGTTGAACTAAAGATAGTATAAAACCAGGAGATTTTACCATAAAACAAATGATCCTGAGTCACCATGATCAAAGATAATAATTGCAAAGTAAGCTGTAACCCTAGTCTTTACAAATTTTACAGTTCTCACACTAAATTTGTAGATATGCTCCAGGTGACTAAGAACTTATATGTAAGGCTATTTTTTTTCCTCATTAGGTAATTTACTTGTCTCCTAAACTATAATTAGGACTTGTCTACTATAGAGAAATCTACATAGTAAACTGGTTAATCAAGAGACAATGTCACTGTTTTTAAAAACTGTTGAAAATGAGTTATCACATCATCAAAAAAAAACACCCAATACAAGATATTTCTCAATATATTTTTGCCAGTTCCTCCCAGCCTAAAAAGAAAACAAAACTCATTCATTCCGCATAACAGTAAAATACCTTCCCATTTGAATAGTTCATTCCTTAAAATTAAGTGACACACTTCTATATAAGTAAAAATTTTAAAATATGATTGTGCATCTTGCAGACTTAATTATAAAAGAATTTCTCCCTAATCTCTATAGTTACACTGCGAGATCAAGCTCTAAATGATGTCAATGCTATTATGATGAACGACACTGTTGCAGTGACATCAAGTTGCCATCCTTTCAATGACTATAGGTGCAACTAAATTTAGTATGTTGAACAATGCTTTATATTCTTTTGCCTCAGGAGAAGAGGTGAAGTTTATCCAGGATATTATATAAAATTTCCTCTTAAAACCATTATCTTTTAAAAACTCAAAAGAAAACCTAATGATATGTATTAAAGTCATTTCAAAATTACTCAATAAAATGCACTAGTTTACATGACAGAAACAAATTATAAAGTACTAGCCTAGCATATTGGTGATGCTGTCACATGTACTGTCATGTTTAGGATGGTTTAAAAAAAACAAAGAGAAAGATACAGAGAAAGACAACTCTGACGACAGTAAGAGGCCATGGTCAATCTGCCCTCCTGCTGCAAAGCCAATCAAAAGCCAATCAAGTGCTCAGTTAAGTATCCAAGTACATAAAACATCATTGATTTAGGATCAGTAAGTAATTAAGCTTAATTCTTACAAAACTAAATTTGCAAAATAAGCAGTTGTGTTAAAAATTTAAAAATGCAGGCATGAGTTCTGTGAGCTTGGAAATTTTCGTATTAACCAAATCCACAATTCTTCATCTGTGAAAGAGAAACAGTAGTACCTACCTCATGTGCAGTATTGAACTTTAATTAGTACATTTTATAGCATATATATTACCTGGCATACAGAAAGACCTCAATGAAGGTTAGCTTTTATTCTGATATAACACAATAACCAAAGTATTGGTCATTACCTACAAAGTAACCATTCTAAATCAAAATAATTTACATTCTAACAATGTTGGCTCTAAAGAATCCATGGGATTATGGGGTCAATTATTTAAAAAAAAAAAAAAACACTTTCTGTGCTTCAAAAGATAATGTAATCTTGCATGAAAACAAGAACAGTAAAATCAATTGAGTAGGGTTAGATATGAAAGCTCTATGTATTACTCCAGTCTCTCCAATAACTTCTAAATTATGGTGGATACTTTAGAGATGATGGTATGCTCTAGAAGTCTATCATAAACAGACCTAGATCATTTCTGTATTGCACATATGAGCTTCCAAGTTCATACAAAGGTTAGGATAATTTTTCCATTGAGATATTCACTACACCTCCTTTTAAAGGAAAATTCCTTGCTTTAAAATAATTCCTACAAGCAAAGACAAAGACTTCTATGTCAAGAAGGTAAATAACCATCTCTTCAAACCCCCAAATACTGTATATCCAACAGTCATGGACATAAAATTGAGCACAGAGGTCATTTCTTAAATTCTAATGCAATAAATTTGTTTCAAAAACACTGGGACATTGTAAAATAAAGTTGTTAGCAGAAATGCAAGTCATTCATCATTTGGATGGGATGTGTAAGAGTCACCCCTAAAAAAGCCATCTCCTCACTATTAATTTCCAGCAAACTCTCACTTTTAACAGAACCAAAAAAAAAATTATACAAGGAAAATGATTAACCATTTTTAATTTAAAAAATAGGTGGTTCTGATAATGCCATAATGTATTAGTATTAAATAATTGTAATTCACTGTTTAAGCTCAAATGAAGAAACCAGTGGGCACAAAATTATAATGTACAGTGAAAATGGGTCCTTCCTATAAGATAATGAAGATTCTTGGTGCTTATGGCTTCATTTAATCTTCTTTGTATGGCCTTAGAAATATAAAATCATTTAATAGCAGATTCACCAGTTTTGTCCTATTACCAAAAATGCTTGAATCCTCAAGAGAATTAACAATATATGACAAGTTAGGGTCTAAATAAGGTGTATATAAAAAATACAAATCATAGTTTCAAAATGATTTGAAAAAGAGCTGTTCATCACAAAAAGTAAGATCATTTATGATGACTAAGAAAAAGTCATTTTATGATTTTACAATCTAATCAAATCTTACCCATTACCCTTATTGGTTTTAAACTAACCTATACACGCTCATGAAGAGGCGGAAAATTGTTGTTTCTGGTCACATTTAATGTTTGAATGAAGCTTTAAATTTTAGCGTATTTAAAAATTAATATTTAAAACTTATGTTTTAATAATGAATTTCACTGTTATCAATTAGATACAAAACAAATTGGTAAAAGTTAGATTATATACACTAAATCAACAAATGTTGAGCATTCACTATGTGCCATGCAATCAATCTCTGTAAAATATGGTAAGACATTTAGTCAGTTATACCATGTTAATAAAATTTTCATCTGTGCTCACCATCCCCCATAAAGAAAAATTTTTTTCACTATTTTGCAGGCCAAAGTAGCCATTTATACAATCTAAGTTTAAGTAGTACTTAAAGGTAAAAATTATCCCCTAGAATCTAGAGCCCCAAACATGATTCAAAAGTAATTTTTATGAAACAGCTAGTATGTAATTTTCATATACAAAAAGGTGCCAATAAATAAATTCTTTGGAAAATCCAACTAAATTCACTTAAACAGCCTTACCACTAACTTTTTCCTCCATTATTTTTCTTATGTTGGCAATTAGAAAAACTACTTCGTATTAGTAGGAACCAAGTCCTCTGAGAGCAAAGCAAAATCCCTAGTGTGAAAACAACTTTTTGTATGGCCTACAAGTTAAGTTCAGAATTACTTAGTTAGAATTACTACATTGAAATCAATGGAAAAGTATGTTCTAGCACGGGGGGGGGGGGGAATCAAACAGGCTTCTCAGTTCTAAATAGGTAAAGTAGGCAAAAGGGATGAGGCAAGACAAGGATAGGCAAGCTTTCCTTACAAGTTAAGACGTTAATATTTTATAAGTTTTGTGGTCACTAGCTCCGACTACTTTCAACTCTGCAGTTGTGGTGAGAAAGCAAAGACAACATGTAAATGTATTTCAATAAAACTTTATTTAAAGAAATAGGGGGCCACGAGCCAACACTCAGTTCTAGAATGTGTCACAAGCATATTCAAATGAAGGTCCCTTTGCATTTTAACTTTGCCTGAATTTAAGTTTAAAAATTACACAATTGCTAATAGGAGAAAATTAATAACCAAAATTTTAACAGTGAACTTCACACACATCTAGCCATGCTGACTTTCTATTTTGTGCTGCTTTGGGCTTCATTAATTCCCTCTATAGCTCTATAATTCTGATTCAAATTACTCAAAATTTACAGTCATATTTAAAATTTAAAAAACAGATTAAACATGTAAATTGAGTAAAACTTACTAAATGCTTCCACCAACATCTATTACGTTGTACAGGCCCTTTAGAGAATTCAGTCTCAGGATACACATTTCTGCAAAAATCAAAAAGAATATAATTTTATGCATAGGAAAAGACAAAAACCAATTATTAAATTGCCATGTTTTATTTGGAAACTTAAACAGCTTATAAAAAGCATGTGCCGGGACCCTCCCTGATGGTGCAAGGGGTTAAGTCTCAGCACTCTGAAGGTAGCAGAAACCACCGAAGCAGAAGTTCAATCCCCAGCCAGGGAGATGACAAACATGGCGCACCAGACCTCTCCTGTCTCACCCGCTGCTCCCCTCAGCAGTGTATTTCAGTAGATCTGCCTGTTCTGCTCCCCACCCTCTCTGGTGAATCCTCTCACCCCAATCCCCACGCCTCTGGCCTTCACCCCAGTTCTTGTATGCATAAATAAATAAAAATAAATCTTTCCCAAAAAAGGAAAATATCCAAGTCTTTCCTTAGTTAAAGCAGAACTATGGCACAAAGAACAGCCCTTCTGACATTTTGTAGATGGTTTTTGGGAGACATGAGATGAACCCAGACTGTGGTTGCGGGGTACTGAGGTTGGGGTATCCTCCCAAGTTAACAGGTCCTCAAATAATGGCCTTTTGTTCAACATTGTTTCATTATAATGTGAATGAGAGGGAAAAAACCCTAGCTGATATGAAAAATATTGAGAACCTGAGAAAACCAAGAGATATACATGTGTAAGAGTTATATAGCCCAAACAGTGAAAGATAAAAGCAAAACAAACATCAAGTTGGATCTTAAATTTAAGGCGCTAAAATTTGGCTGTATAGAAGTCTCACCTATATATAAGTCCCGAAGAACTCCAAGAGCAGGTAAAAACTTAGGCTCCCAAGGTGAATTTAATGGACAGCCAGGAATGAGAACACCGTTTAACAAAACTAATATAACTACTTATAACACAAATTTATCTACCTCCTGGCTCATCTACTTTCTAGACTTTTACATCTTTCATCACCCACCAGCAAATCCATGTTTCTCACTCTTTAATGTTACTGTATTATTTCAAATTACCATGTACTTTAACCAGTATTGAAAGTTAAATATTAAAAAGGAAACCTTAGACAAATTTCAAACTATATTTGCTAATTATTTTGACTTACTCAACACTAACCCTTTCTAAAACACGTATTTGAGAACCAAAAAAACAAAAACCACTTTTTACCAGTGAGAGTGAAGCACCTCATAAGCCACATATGGAAGATAGTGTTTTCCCTTTTCGCAAACAACTTCTGAGTACAGATTAAGTTTTTTCAGTAACTCCTGCTCTAAACTATAAATAATTACAATATGAAGATCTAACAAAAAATCTGTTTTAAAAGTTCATTATCAAAGTGTGGCAATTTAAGGCCTTTTAGAAACAAAAGAATAGTTTTTAAGTTCAAACTAAGTTGCCCAAATACTTTTCAAAGACTAGGTTTCTGTTTTTCTAATTATAAAGCAAATCTGATTATCAAGTCTAAATTCCTTTAGTTCTTTTTCACTAATGATACTGAGGAAATACAGCAAAGATCTACTTCAAAAATTACTTCTAAGAATACAATATTAAAATATCCTCCCAAGTTAACAAATAAAGACATTTAATTAAAACATTATTTGTCTGCTTCCAAACTTAACCTGACCTTATAAAGGAGAGAAGACAAAATCTTAACCAAATAAAATAAATTAAGCCACTAAGGGAAAGGTGTATTGACTTCAAAATATTGAAACATCTGAGTTTCAATATATGTTTCATCTAAGTCTGATAATATGGCTTATTTAAAAGCTACCAGAAGACACTCCTCCAACACAAGAAAAGGATTTGGGTCTCACTTTGCACCATTGTCAAAATTACTGACCATACCAACTACTTTCCCAAAATCAACAAATCAGTGTTTTGTCTTCCTTTGAAGGCAGGAGCAGAGATCCATTTAAGGAGACTACAAAGGTTGATCATTTCGCTCATATTCCTACCTCTCTCTAATATTAAGCAGTACGGACTGTTTTCATTTGGAAATTGAAGCTATAATGTAAAAACCGCTTTGACTGCACATCCTTTTACAATAAAAAGCAAAGCTATCTTTAGTCAAGCCTGTCATCATCAGTCCAATTATGCTTTTCTTCTAATATTTGGTTCTGCAACATCTTAAAGATGTTAAAACAATTTTTCTATTAAAGAATAAAACCTGAGGACAATAAAATAAAGAAATCTTTCACAAAAAGAAGGTAGTGTTACTAATTCCTAAGAAAACTGCCAACAAGACAGCTCATAAACCACTGAAGTTAAGCATAATTTCTAGACTGATAATCTAAATTAAAATTATTACAATATAGCACACACATAAAGGTTTAAGTGATTGTTTGAGAAACAATCCATTTCAAATTAAGTGGTTTAATTTCAAAAAGCAAAGGCTTTCCAAAACAGAAGTATGTAGCTTTATAAAGGGTATACAGCGACACCTTATCAATTATACTTTAACATTATGTAAATAATCAAGTCACAATCAAGTCATGTAGTATTGCTTCACAAAGTCCAGAATATCAATTAATTTAAATGATAATGGTTAATTACATTCAGAAATAACAGCCAATTTGAAAATTAAGCTTATAGTGCGCCATTCAATCTGGAAAAGGAAGACAGCTGGAAAAATGCTGATATTTAAAGTTTAAAACTTTAAGGAAATTAAATAGGCCATGTCAGGGATGTAAACTATAATTCTTCTTGCGTATATTCTCAATGGTGAGCAACAACCGTTAAATGACGTTAAACTTTAGACAAAATCCAAAATGTTTTTTGGCAGCATCCTAAATCTTAAATTGTTTAAGGATAATTTCACCCCTTAACTGCTTTTTAAAATTAACTTCCCAATGTTTCACATGTTATGTTTATACTGTTAATGACTACTTTGGAATGCCTAAAATTTATAAAATCAGGCATACTATTCCCCAGGTCTTCTGTTATTCAATTAACTTCACAACATGAGTGATTCACAATGAAAAATTACAGAAACTATTTTCCAGTTTGCATAATAAAATTAGACACTAATACTTAAGAGCTAACGGGTATCTTAAAGAGACTAGAAATTCTAAATACTTTATACAAATTAGGGGATAAGGTCTATGCAATGTCAAGATTACAGGGATAATTTACATTAGAAGCTAAGTTTCTTGATTGCTGAATCAGTTATTATTTTCCACTCTATCACACACCTCTCATTAAAACAGCATTAAAGCAAAAGACGGAGATGTCCTCGAATTATTAACTCCCCCCCCCATACCTCTCAACAAAGAATAAAATATGAGAGGAGAAAACGTAATCTAATTGGTTTCCCACAGTCCAAATTTTTAAATAATAAACAATTTAGGTAACAGTAAACTAAACTTGAAAGAAAAATTACATTCAAAAATCACCATTTCACATAATCGAGGCCTTTGTATTACGTCATGGTTAATGGAAAAAACTTGTGATTAACTATGAGCATGACTTCTTGGATTTATGTGGAACTTCAGATAATTTTTTAAACAGTTATAACCCTAACAAATGCAATCCAACCCTTTCACCAACCTGATCAGCTGATGTTTATGCTTCAAAAACTAGTCCACAATGCTAAATTAAATGAAAACAACCATTTAAGTACTTACCACTGATTTTTTGGTTCTTAAGCAGAAAATAATAGTAAACTAATAACTTACTTTTCTTATGAAAAATAGTCATTTAGAATAGCAATATCTACTTTTGTATCTGCCGTCACATCTGTTACTTTTGTCCAGCAAAAATATTGCCCATTATACAAGCATGGGTCAATCAGCAAATGTTGAAACAGAACGTAAGAAACATCATGAAGGTCAAAATACATGTAGACCTTTTAAAATTTTATTTTTCAATCTCTTATCTTGTGAGATTCCTTTAGGTTGGGAAACAACAAGTTATTATATCACTTACTTATTTTTAATTACTGTTAAGTAAAATAAAAAAATCTTTCACGTTTCTAGCCTAGGTTTTCTAAGATGTCAGATATTTAAGCTTATTCATTTTTTATTTTACAGGCCATATTACACCTCTGTAGGCCATTATAAATTTATTACTTATTTATACTTAAAACGTACGTTACACTTCACATACATTTATTCCTTAAGAGGCCCAATTCTTTGTTTTCATAAGAGTGCCCAATCACATCTGAATGCCAATCTAATATGCTACCATTGACACATACAGAAAACCATGGCATTTGTGTTCAAGAAGCTGAGCATGAAGAGGTATCTTCACTTTTCTGTCTATCTTTAAAACATCACAGTTAAACCTCCAGTATTTAATTCTCTTTTACAAGCTATAATAAACAATCTGATCAAGTTGCAAAAGGACTGAAAAGGAAAAATTAAGTTAAAGCAAAGGCAATAATATTATTAATCACCTATCTCAATAGGGAGAATAAGCCAACACCAACAGAAAAGATTTTATTTTCCACATAAAATTCACGGATAAAGGTAAACTTGCCCTTATTTTCATTGCTTATTTGGCTGTCCTTAAAATTTTAAGACATTTGTTATAGTATGTATTTACTGTATCACTACGAACAACTTGACATTAATTTCCAGACTTAGTGTTAACTTTTGAAAAATTATTCCCTAAAAATTATCAGTGGACATAGCTTTCTCATATACATATCTAATTTTAACATGTCCACGTACTGACTACATGTTGGCAGGTATTTCTTACATTTATGCTTTAAATTACAAATTGAAACATAAAAATAGGTAAAATTTTAACTACAATAAATAATAACTAGACTGTGAACATGCTTTTGTTTTTGAAACATAACTGAATTAAGAATCGCAAGATCAGTAAACACAAAATTCTAGGCCATTTCTAAAATGAGATCTATATCATAATAGCGAAAGAATGCACATTTCAGATTGCAAAAACCACTAATTGTGATTGACTCAAAACTGATTTAAGCACTTTTACTTAAAGGACTGAATGTCTTACTGCTCAGATACAAATTAATGTATCACCTGCTTTAGTATTAAAACTCCTTTGACGTAAGGTAAAAGAATTTGATGGACTTTCCTCATGCCATTTTCAAGGGAAAAAACAGCCTTATGTTTGTTTCACTGACAAACTTTAATGACATTTAGAAATTTTCCTATTCAAATGTTGTATTAAAACATTTACTTACTTGCTATATAAAAATAAAGACATTCGCAAAGATTTCCTTTATCCTCAGAAAAACACTCCGGTCTCAAGTCTTCAAAATGGCACCTTTTGTGGGGGGGGGGGGGGGGAATATTCTAAACAATTTATTGATGGATCAAAAAAGTATTAAGTAGGATTTAGTGTTTTTAAGGCGTTTATTATATAAAAGAAACAAAAACTAAACTCTATGCTCAAAAAACCTAATTTTTAAAGTGTTTTTCTTTACAATCTGTTAGTATGAATAGTTACCAGTTCAAATTTTCCAGTAAGCTTATTTCTTTAAATATTTAAAAAGATTAAAATTGCTTGCACAGTGTATTAGTGAGCTAAAAAGAAAAGGTATATCTGTGGTGCACGGTTTTCCTCAAAATATAACCAGCCCTTTCTCATTCCCAAAATTAAACAAAGGCTTAAAAGTCTTTCAGCATTTAAAGTATTCAAAACATACATTAAGTTACAACGGGTATGCGCATACACCTTTCATTCCATGACAAGATTTAAAGAAAGGTTTTTTAAGGTTTTTTCCAGATGTTTAAGCTTACTTATAGTCACTACTTACTGGAAATATAAATTATCAGTGAAAACTAAAACCTAATAAGCTTAGAACAATAAAAATTTACCCCGTCTTACCTCAAATTAACGCTGTATTTGCTCAGGACCATCATCAACCAAATTTACTGTAATCTCGTAAGTTACCTTTAAGAAAAAAAAAGATGATATCAATGTTTAGAGTTCTGGGTTTTGTTTTGTTTTATTTTCCAACATTTCTTGACCAAAATTTCAGTGAAAAGAAATAATGAGAAAATATTCCAAAGACTGGATCTATGGGCAAATTTAAGGCAACTCACTGGCATACTACCTACACATTTGGGTTGCGGCAATTCTTTAATCGCAAAATCTAACAGTCCTTTTCCTCCTCTTCTGGAGGTATGGAAAGAACAGTAGAAATTAAAGCATCACGATTAAAAAGAAACAGAAAATCCACATCTTTAGACAGATGTAAGATTATGACCTTGTTTTTATTTTTCTGATACCAGGCAATACACAAACACAAAGGAAAAGTTTGCCCTTTTTTTAAGACTCAGATCATCTTAAAATTTCCTTTACCATCTTTATTAAAAATTAACTCCTCCAGGAGAAATTAGTGAAGTTAAAATGGCCACTGGTTAAATTTTTAAACCACAAGTTATTTGATCTCACCAAATGGGTTATTAGTCCTGTCTTTAAGCAAGCCTGAAATACGTAATATCTGTGACCTTTATTCAATTTCAGACCAGGATCCCGAACATTTTCAGTCTCTCCCTCCCCCAATACCTCACGTAAAATGATAGGAGGTTAAACTGCTAGCAATTATTTTGCATTTCATTGTTCCAAAAGGATTCTCAGAATCTAGATTCTAAATACCCGTTGAAAACCCCTTCCAGGGTTCAAAATGCTCAAAACTGTTGACTGGAAAAACCAAAATTGGTATTTAAAGAACAGCTTCTGTTACAACAAGATATGCGCAATGGATGTAACATGCAACCCTAGCAAAGGCTATTCGAAAAATACAATTTCACTGACCAAAAAGTCCTCGGAAACATGGTCCTGATGAAACCAGGGCCCTCGATTTTACCAGCACTACGTGCATCTGCCAGCACCGCTTTTGCGTAGAGACCCGCACCTTCCCGAGCGCTACCGCAGACCCCAGACACAGCCCGAAACACACAAAGGTCTGTGCATTTCTGGCAGGTTCTCCAAACCGTTCCACTTTAAATTCCCTCTCGAGCAGTTTCTAAGATTCAGACTTGACAGAAAAGACGGCAAATTTTCTCGAACCCGATTGATACCATCAACACAGCGCTCCGTGCGAGGCGAGCCCCGGGCTCCCCTGCACGCAACAAATGCACCAACATGGCTCCCGTCCTCGCCGCGGCGGCGGGCGAGTCCCGCTCGAGTGTTTACACTGCGGGACGGTAACTTCACAAAGGGACCGGCGTCCGCGCAGTCCCCGCGAAAACTTTTGGCGGCGGCGGCTCAGGCTACCGGGCAGATCTCAACACACAGTCAAAGGGCGAACTCGGAACTTCGGGCCGTCCAGGGGCCGAGCCCGGCGCAGCGCGCCCCGCGCTCAGGCGCGGTCGGGGAGATAACGGCCCCGACGGCCTTTCACGGAGTGCCGGCCGCGGCCCCGAACCGCCCCCCGCGGCCCCGGCCCCGGGCGATGACTCGGGGAAACCGACCGTCTCCCCGACGCCCGCCCCGCGCGCCGAGCCGGGCTCGCGCGCCCCGGCGCCCCTCAGGCCCGGCCGGCGCCGCTCCCACGCGCCCGCCGAGGACGCCCCCGGCCTCGGGGCCCCGCGCCGGCCCCCCGCGCCGGCCTCGGCCTCGGCTCGGAAAGAGTTAACGGCCAACACCCAACAGAACGGGCGAGAAGGCAAGTTTCCCGTCTGCGTGAGTGCAGCCGGCCCGGCGTCCATTGTTCTTTCACATTCGCCCCCGAGGACGGGCCCCCCGGCGCCCCGGAGCGGGGTTCGGCCTCCCCGCGGCCGCTCGCCCGGAACGCCCGGCGGCCGCTCCGGCCCCCTCCGCGCTCCGGCCGCCGCCGCCCCGACCCGGCGGGGCCGTCCCGGGCCGCCCCCCCGGCCGCAGGGCCCCGCGCCCCCCGCCCGGGCCCGCCCGCCGCCGCCCCGGCCGCCCGCGCCCCTCCCGCGCGCTCAAGGACGCCGGCTCCCTCCCAAGGACAAAGGACGGTCGGGGCCCGGGGCCACTCACCGGGTCCGGGCGCGGCGGCCGGCCCCGCCGGGTCGCCCGCCCCCAGGTCCGCGCCGGCCCGCCCGCCCGCGCCGCGCCGAGCCGCCCCGGCCCCGGGAGCCGCCGCGGCGCCGTCGGCGTCGCGGGCCCGGCCGCCCCGGGCGCCTCGGCCGCGGGCTCCGCCGCCGGCGCGCGGCCCCGCCTCGCCTCGGCCGCGGCCGCCGCGCTCCCGCGGGCCCGAGGGCGGCCCGGGCGCCGCTCCCCGCCGGCCGCAGAGCCCCGCGGCCGCGGCGGCGCGCCTGACAGCTCGGGGTGCTGCTGCCTCTCCGGCCATCTTGTGCCGTGTGTGTGGTGTCTCTCCCCGTCTCCTCGCTCGGCTCTGCTCCCTCCTCCTCCTCCCCCCGCCCCACGCCACACAACATGGCCTCTTCGCTGCGGCGGCGGCTGCGGCGGCGGCAGCAGCTCCGCCGCGCTCCGGCCCGCTCCCCGCCCCCCGCCTCCCGCCCGCAGCCGCGGCCCCCAGCGCGCACGCGCGCCGCCGCCCGCCCGCCGCGGCCATTGGCTCCGCGCGCTTCCCGCCGCCCCTTCCCCGACAGCGGCCTCACGCACGCGCGCTGTCGTCTGCCTCCCGCCCCACCACCGCTCCTTCGAGGCCACTGGCTGTCCCCGGCCCCACCCCCGCCGCTGCCTCGCGCCGATTGGCTGGGGGCGGTGCCGCTCACCTCCCGTCGGTGTTTCTGGTGTTCGGAAGGGGCCCTGGCAGGCGATTGGCTGGCGACGGAGCCCTTGGGTTTGGCGCTGAACCCGGGCCCGGCGCCCCGCAGTGCGGACCCCCGTGGGGAGGGGGGTGGGCTGCGGGGGCCCGGGGCTGGGCCTGGCCGGAGTGAGGCGTGCCGTGCCCTCGCGTACGGGCGCAGCCCCGGGGGAGCTGGAGTCCCTGGTGCTCGGCTGAGGTGTTTGTCTTGTTTCAAAAAAGAAAATGACTGACAGGATGACGGGCCGCGCCGTGCGGGCCCCGCCGGGCGGGCGGGCGTCGCCTGCCCAGGACCCTTCCCCGAGCCGCAGCCCTTCCTCGGTCGCGGAGTGAGCGCGGGGGGCTTCACCACCCGCTTGTCCCCCCGGCCCGGGCCCTGGGCCCGCGTGCGTGTCCCTGAGGGGGAAGCGGCCCTGCCCGCGTGGGGGAGGCGGCCTGGGGCGCCCTGTCTCCTGGGCCCCGGGCGGCTCCCCCGAAGCTGCCCAGTCTGCCTGCCCGCCCTTTCCCGAGAATCACGCACACGAGCTTCGTTTCCTTGAAGCCAATTTCATTTTGCTTCCTTCCTTCCATGTGGAAGGAGCAGACCACGGGAATAACCGAAAACCCAAACTTTTCCTAGAATGGATGAGACAAGAAAAGGGCGATCCACTCCCACCGCACACCTTAGAAACCTCGTCCCTTTGGCCAGTGGGGGAGGGAGGGGCAAGACCACCAGAAGTTCTTCATTTTAACATGTTTGTTTTGTTTTTGGGTTGGTTTTTTTTTTTTTTTTTTTTTTTTTTTTGAGGGGCAGGCCGTTGGGGCGGGGTGAGTAGCTCTTAAATCCTCTTGAGACTTTGCCCTGGGTTTCAGTTCCAGTCGTACCTACTGGCCCCTTCCTTTAAAACTGACACAATTGTTAATTCACTTGGCTCCTATGACAGCTTCTCTGAGGGCAAAACAAACTAGGACTAGACCCCAAATCTACAGCTGCTTCTCTACAACCTGACCTCTCCCCTTAGCGATATAAATTGGAGCTTTCATTGTCCCCCCGCCCCCAAGAAGGTTTGTGTAACTGAAATTAAACTTTCTGCATTTCACTTCCTTACACAATCTAGCTTTGAACATTAGAGACCTGCAACAAAGCTGTTTTCTCAGACATAGACCCACCTTTTTCTCCATTTTTCCGGGTGTGTTCTTGCTGTGCTCTTGTTCACACTTTCCCCTCCTACCACTACCTGAAATCCATCTCTGACTCTGCCTTTCCAGAGTCATGCCCCGAGTAATTCTGTGCCAACACAACAAGCCTGAACAGGCCTTTACTAAAGATCGTCATGACTGGCAAGTGTGCGAGCGACAGCCAGGCGTTGTTCTAAGCCCTCAAACTGGGTTGATCACACAACAGCCTCTGAGAGACTATTACTATCTTTGCGTATTTTCCCTGTTAGGAAACCAAGGCACAAAGAGTTTTAACTTCACCAGGTTCATCCACACTGCTAAGAAATACTGCAGACCTCTCCTGTCTTGCCTGCTGTTCCCCTCAGCAGTGTATTTCAGTAGATCTGCCTGTTCTGCTCCCCACTCTGTCTCTGGTGAATCTTCTTGACCCCCTCGCCTCTGGCCTATACCCTAGTTCTTCTACGCAAAAATAAATAAATCTTTGAAAAAACAACAACAAATAGGTTAAGTTGGGTCTTCTGTGGTGTGGAGCTACTCCCTCCTCTACTCCTTGAAAGTTCTACCCTCAGCTTTGGACTTCCCTCCCTTCTAACTCAAGGCCAGACCCGGGCCCCACCCTATTGCTCTCAGTCTACTGGCATGCCACCTGGCAACCATATAGCTCTGTTTTTCCCTCTTTGATCATGGATCCCCGCAGTTCAACTGTGGGGTGACACCCGCTTGTGAAAATACACCATGGGCAGCTTATATAAAATGACTTTCTTCTCCCAAACTCACATCCCACACGACGTCCTCTTCAGAGGAGGCCCTGATGTGCCCATCATAGTGAAACTTTACTCCCCATGACACATGACAACGTTGATTCTTTCACCTTACCTTTAGCACGACTTTAGCCATCCTTGCTAAAAGCTAGATGAACTCTACCCTCAATTAAAAGCACCTGCCACCTGGCCAGTCCCTACTTCTTGCTCCCCCTGCCTGTTCAAGCAAGGTGATCTGCCTATGCAAGGAGAGGAGATCTTCCCTCCCTGTCCCAAGGGCTCCTGTTACTCCGGTTCTTTAGGCTGCAGTAAAGAGCTGGAGCCTTTTGCTTTTGACTCACTTAGAGGAGAGACCTCTGCTTATGCTTTGAGTAGCTCTGTTCCTACTTAACAGTGTCCAAAAGAAAACCTGGATGGGCAGAGGCTATTTCTGAAAGTATACAAGGATCTGTTTACACTGGGCACCCCCAAAGAGACCCCCAAAGGGAAGTGGAGAATAGGGGCGGGAGCACTGTACGCTCTACACCCCTTTGTGAACCAGAATTTTGAACCATGGGAATGTATTACCCATGGATTTTTCTTCTTTTGTTTCAAAAGAAAGAAGAGAAAGAGAACACTAAACTCAAGCTGTTGAGCTAAAAGCTGACACTATTGCAGAGAAAGGCTACTTTTTTTTCAGACTTTTTTTAAGTGTGTTATCTGCATTTCTTACAATAAACACCTGTAACTTCCTTTTGTCAAAATAAGGTCACATGGCCTCAGTTTCTCCAAGGAGGTGAAGGGCACCTGAGAGGTCGCTGGTGGATGATGAGCATCCCCGTTACATATACTGGAGCAGCAGATTCCATTCCAGGTACTGCGGCCTCACACATTGCAGAACAGGACTTCCTGCCCTGCTCCCTGCTTCCTGGAGCTCTCAGGTCTGTTTCCCTGCTTCTACACTCCTCTCCTTCTGTGGCAATTAAAGAAGCAGAGACGTCATCTGGGTCCATAGTCCTCCATATCCAGTGTTGCCTGGGGTGTCTCCTTGAGATGGTCAACCCAGCTCATCCTGGAGGCTCAGCGGAAACCCAGATGACCTTGACAGAAAATCTGAGACAGTTTTCAGATGCAGGCCTTTGCAGATCGCTGCAGCTCTGCTCTTGCTCTCTGTGGGTGTTCTGTTTGCTCATCCTCTGCATGTCTGACCTGCAGGCTCTGTCTTATTTCTCAGTATACCTCCTCCTTCTTCACATGTGACAGTCTTTCTTCCCTTTTCCCAGGTTGGAGCACACACAGGGCTGAGGTTCATCTGATACTCATATATTATTTCCAAGCACAGTTATTGAGATTCTTTCATGTACCAGGTAGTTTTAGAAGCTGGGGGTGCTGCATGGACTGGGGTACCTGTCCTCATGGAGCTTACATTCTAATGAAGAAGCCCAGAAATAAGAAATTATCAGGTAGCAGGCCTCCCTGGTGGCGCAAGGGGTTAAAACGCAATCTATGAAGTTAACTGCAGCCACTGCAGCACGAGTTCGATCCCCAGCAGGGAGCAACCCACATGGCCCAGCAGACCACTCCTGTCTCTCCTGCTGCTCCCCTCTGCAGTGTATTTCAGTCAGTCTGCCTGTTCTGTTCCCCAGTCTGTCTCTGGTGAATCTTCTCACCTCCCACACCTCTGACCTGTACCGCAGTTCTTGTATGCATAAATAAATCTTAAAAAAGAAAGAAATTA